ACATTTCTTCTAGTCTTCTTTTTTTTCCATCATTAAAAAATGAAGCATATTTAAAACAGTAAATTGCCCTGACAGACATCTAACTAGTAACCATATAATACCAAGCAATACCCCATGTTTGCGTTCTTTCACTGTGATTCAGTACAATCAGGACCGAAAGATCAGTCCAACAGACACCTGAGCAGAAAGACACTAAAATATATCAATCGAGCATATCTCCACAACAACAGTAAGTAAAGCACATATAAGAGACAAATTGCCCCAACCAACAATCCACTGTCATCTACCAGCATAACGAGTAAATAACCCCAATTCAATTCTGAAACCATGAAATTCAACTCCCAAATAATGTTCCACAAACAAAATTCGGTTTCTTAAAGCGAAAGAAATGAGAAAGCGAAAAGCTCACCCAATACTGCCTCGATAACGCCTCTGCAGCTGCCTCCTTTCTATTCCTTCCAGAATCCATCCGATGATGGCTCCCCAAACTCAATAGCGTCGCCGCACGGATCTGATCGTTCTCCGGATCCTCCCTAGCCTCTGACGACGCACTGAGCGCTAGGGCAAGCTGCATCTGATACTCTTCCTCCGACGATATGAAATCCCCACGATTCATCGCAGCAGTCGGCGGTATCGGCGGAGGGCCACTTCCTCTTCCTGTCGCCACTGTCGCCCTCCCCGGAGACGATGATGGTGGACTCGCCGAAGTGTTGCTGGAGCCTGCACGCTGATTATCGGGACCACACGAAGGAGAAGGTGGTGTCTCATTTGTCCGATTATGGTCGTGACTGCTCCCTATGTGTAGCTTCTTGAAAATGTGCTTCATTTTCTCCGTTTCTTCGTTCTATCTCTCTACTTTCAGACTCTTTATCGCTTCAATTGACTAACTCCCTACTCTATCGATATTACACATTAGGATTACAATTTTATTCCACTTCCCCTCCCTTTCTCCCTCTTCCTCCCTCACTTTCTTCCACTCTCTCTCTCTGGTTTTCAGTTCGGTTGTCAGGAGAAAGTGTTAGGAGGGAAAACAGAAAACTCACGGCAATAAGCAGCCAGTATGGTGGTCGACCAATAAATAGACGTGAAGATTGATTAAATTACGAAAATGACACGAGAAAATGCTCGGCATACGTAGCGTTGACAATAAACAGGTAACAGCGCCAATCAAGGACTGACATGTGGTTGCTGACAAATGTATCAGGTGAATGTTATACGCGTGGCAGGTGAGGGTCCACGCGGCATAGTCATCTAGTTTTCAAGGTCCTGTTTGGCTAAATGCTCTAAAATTAATTGCATAACGATTTCAATTTATATATTAATTACCATTTTTTACTTGAATAGTTATTTTCTTTTACTTTTTATATAAAATTTTAAATTATATATTTCGCGTATATTTTTTTAAAAAATTATATTATAATTAGTTTAGGCATATTACTTTATTAATAAGATATATGAATATTTATTTTTAAAAAATTAAATGCGTTATTGAAGCACTTATTCTTTAAGTTATGAGCTTTTAATAAAATCAATTAATCATACATATTTTTATTTGTAATTAAATTAGAAATAATATGTTTATTAAATATAATTTTAATCGTTTTATATATTCAATATTTAATATTTTAAATTATTTTAAGATTTTAAATACCCCCTTTAAATATTATTTTAAACTTACCATAAAAATATAATCTTATTATATCATGTATTTAAAAATAATCTTATATCATGATATAAAATAATTAATCGAAAAATATATACATATATAATAATGATGCATGTTGGTAATTTTTATAGACAAATATAAATGTAAAAAAAAAGAGAAAACTAAATGATCAAGTAATTTAACATTTAAAAAATGAAAATACTTGGTTTCTCATTTGTAAGAGAACAAAATCTGCTCTCAAGATATATATATATATATATATATATGTGCATATATATCTAACTTAATTAATTATATATATCTCTCTCCAATAGTACTTTAATAAAAATGTTATTTTTTTCTAATGATAAAAATTCTTAAAGTTACAATTATATTTTAAGAATGTTTTTCAATATAATTATTTTGATTTTGATAATTAAAGATTCATTCAAAAATTAAGAAATTAACATTAAAAAGATGAATTCATTCAAAAATTAAATAACTAACATTAAAAAGGATGAAAATACTCAATTTCTCATTTGTAAGAGAACAATATATGCTTTAATATATATATATATATATATGTCTGTGTGTGTTTATATATAGCTAAGTTAATCATATGTATCTCCAATATATAATTACATAAGATTCATGGGTATTTTAATAAAGTTGATATAAAGATTCAGAGGGAGAAAGAAAAACCTCAAAAGATGCCAGTAGAAAGATACCATCCACAATAATTTGCATGCAAGAACATATTGAGGAGTGAAACCTAACTAAAAATTCAGTCAAAATAAATATGATGAAATCTGCTCCAAGATATTTAAAAAATAATCATATAAAAATACTAAAATTTTTAATGTAGAAAACTCTTTCAA